GATAATTTTTTTAAAATAAACTTTTAATACTTATTTGATTTAAAATAAGTCTAAAAATATTTTTTATTTAAAAAAGAAATGCTGTAGCATTAATAAAATTTTATAATTTTTTAAAATTTGTATTTTTTTATAAGTTAATATAGATTTTATAATATAAAAATTAATTTTTTACAAAATTTATTTTTTGTTAATTTGGTTTTTTTTCTTAGCATTTAGCTCATATATATGTTTTTTTTAAAAAAAAATAAGATTTTATTTTAGTTTCTTTATTAAAATTTAACATATAGTACATTAATATTTATATATAGTAATATATTATTTTTATTAAATTTAATACTTAAGTTATTTTATTTATGATCTATATTTTGCTAAGCAAAATCAAAAATCTTGCTTAATTTATAATATTATTAATAATAGCTAAAGGAATATTGTATTTTTGAAATATTAAAATTTAATTATTTATTTTGTTTTTTTGCTTAATTGTTTACTATTTCTTGATTTGTATTTTTTATTTTATTTGTTCTAATGTTTGTGCTTAATTTTTCTTTTTGATTTGTTTTTTTGTTTGTTTTACTCTTTTTTTTTGTTTTAATTGTTTTTTGTAATTTTTTTTATATTATGATATTTATATTTTTTATATATATTACTTATTATTTTGTGTAATAAATAATATAAAGTAAGAGCATAGTAATATAGTAAAGTAATTATATTGTTAACTTTTAAGTAGCAGGCTAGAGTTCAAATCTCAGTATTAATAAAAATTTGAAATTCTTCTGTGTTATAATTAACTGTCTTCTGTTATTAGTTAAAATAAAATTTTTGTTATTTGTATTATATTAATATAACTAAAAGGTTATATAGCATTTATATAATGATTATATCTTGTATAAAGGAATACAAATCAATAACAGATAGTATGAACCTATAATAAGTTTTTGTAACTGTGTAGAATACAAAAACCAAGAAAATAGAAGCTTATTTGAAAGATCCAAATAGAAAGATAATCTAAATTTTTAACAGTACTATTGTAAAAATTAGATCTATAAAACAGAACTAGAATTTGTAAAGCCAGATAAAGACAAGTCAGTCTTTAGGAAGAAGTTGTTGCAATTAGTTAGGTCAACAGGATCTGTTTCAGAAGAAAAATTATATATTAAAAAATATATAAATTAAAGATATAATTGTATTTATCTTTTTAGACTATTTGAACTAAAAGCTAAATAAAACTTGAATTAAATAACAAAGTAGTAAAAATATACTATGAAGTAAATACTAAGGTTGGGTAAATTCTATAAGAGCATAGTAGTTTAATAATATATTTTAATCACAAGTGTTAGTTTTGATTATAGCATTATTAGATTAGTTGTAAAAATAAAATACAAAAAATTCTAAAAGGTTTAATACAAAGTCAAAGATTCTTTATATAAGTAAACTGCTTTAAAGACTTAGTGAATATTGCATATTTTTACCAATATCAATTAGAGTTATTGATAGATATAGATAGATGAATAAATATAAAAATTAGAGTGTTTAAATAAAAAAATTATAAGCAGGTTTTAGATATAGCAACTAGTATAGAACCTTTAAGCAAACTACTTAAATTAAACAATAACTTAAATTATATAAATGGTTAGTTGTACACTCTTCTATAGTTGTCTTTTGTAGTCATAATACAATCATTAGCTAAATATACTATTAATAAAATCTTAAGTTATAAATATTTATCTTAATATTAAAAAAAAGTAATATAATTAATAGTTATAAGACATGAAGTGCCAAATAACTGAGGTATTTGCAAAATGTAATTTGATTAGTTGATTTTAAGCACCAAAAGTACACAAATTTCAAACAAGCAGATCATATGTGCAAATACCAGTAAGGTACAATTTGTATTTTTACAAGTTCTTAAAGACTGGCATAGCATGATAGCATCATGCCAGTTTTCAAGAAGCTTGTAAAAATACAAATTATACTGAAGTTATAAGGCACTTGTGTCTTATAACTGTTTTATCTAGCAAATTAAAATTTTCTTATTAAAAGTAATTTAATATAGTATCAAAATTTAACAAATCACAAATTGCATCATTTATCAATTATAAAAATATAAATATAAGTAGATTTTTTTTTTTACATTCTTTCTTTCTTAAATATAAGTAAATGTTCTAATTACCTACCTTCTAATGACCAACTTGCAGCACTCGCTAAAGAACATGTTCCAAAAAATACTATTAAAAATACAAAAGAATGAATTAATATTATGAAACAGTAGTAATTAGATGTTAATTATAATAAACTACTAGAAAGTTAAGATAAGAAAATAGTTGAACTTCAAGTTTCTCAATTTTTATATAGTGTAACAACTAAAAAAAGTCAATCTTATTTACAAACATCATTAAAGAATGCTTTATCAGCAATTAATCAGCATCTTCAAAATATCAAACCTAATTGGCAATATAACTTATATAATAAGAATAACTTTTCAGATCTGTATGCTTGATTTGATGGTTTACTGAAAGACATGAAAAAAAAGTGACTTGATGAATTCAAATCTACAAATGGATTAACTACTGAAAAGATTTAGCATATATTGAATCATAAAATTTTGAATCCAAATACTTCTTTAGGATTATTAAAATGAGGTTTTTTTTGGATTTCTATTTTAGATGCTGCAAGAGGTAATGAACACACCAACTTGCATATATCACAAGTTGTAGATACATCTGATAGTATTATATTAAAAAAACCCAACAAAAAAATGATTAAGGTAGTATAGAAAGAAATCAAATTGACTTAATTATACCTTTTTCATCTGATCCAGAAGGTACTACAGAGCTGAATTTTGATATAAAAAAGTATCTTTCTTTTTATCTTAAAAATTTTAAAAGTTTAAGTTTTTATCTTTCTGCTTGTCATAGTTTAGATGATAAGCATAACACTAATTATTTATATTATATTGTTTTATTAATATATATAATTAATATTTATTAATAATTTATATTAAAGCTATTGTAAAAGGAAAATGGTATTTAGACAAACCATTAACTGATTGTACAATCTATTCAATATTTAAAATGATTTGTATTAAATATAGAATTAATGTTAAATCAAGAAATATTAGTAATCATTTTGGTCAAAAAACTAGTATTATGAAGTTATTTAGTGTTGGAGTTTCTGAAAATACTAGCCATGCAATCAGTAGTTATAAATCTTCTGGTGGATATTATGCTTATGCCAAACCTACAGATGAACATAAAAGAAAAGCATTAGAAAATGTTCTTAACAAACTAATTACTAATACATCATCTAATAGAATAATGCAAGATTTTATTAACTACTTTGAACCTGATAATCATGAAAATTCATCATTTGAAGATAATAGAAATTCAAGTGATGTGGATTTAAATAATTCTGTACAGGTAATAAATACTTTAATTATAAACAAGTTTTAATTCACTAAACATTAATTTTTAAATTAACAAAAAATAAACTTGCAGAATAAACATAAATTTTATGAAATGTTCTATATAGCAAAAGAAGTTTTAAAAAATAATTCTTACAAAAAATCATTAACTACTGATGAAAACAAATGATTGCATCATCAAAAAAAGAATGTCATAGTTATTAACAATTACTATAATAATTGTATATTTAATTATAATTAAATATGTTGTTATAATGAACAATAAATTTATTCAAAACTATTAATGCTTTATTCAAAGAATTTATAACATTTATATATCAAGTAGTTTATTCAAAAAAAAATTAAAAAAAAATTTACTTTAAGGCTAGTTTTTTATACAACCAGACAAAATTTCTTTCTAAATAAATCCTTTATACAACTAGACAATTATTAAAAAAAATTTCTGTTCAAAAAAGTCCTTTGCATAACATATTATTTTTAAAAAAAACAATTCTGCCAAAATAAGTTCTTCATGCAATCTAACAATTTTAAAAAAAATTTTTACCCTAACGAAGTCCTTTGTATAACTAGATAATTTAAAAAAATTCATGTTTAAATAGTACTTACTATAACTAAATAATAAAAAAAAATTCTTACCAAAATAGCCTTTGTGCAATTAGACAATTTAAAAAAAATTCCTTTCTAAAAATACTCTTGTGCAACTATACCATTAAAACAAGTTTTGTTAAAATAAATTTTTTGTGCAACTATAATGATTAATTTAGTAAATATAAAATTTATATTATTTACAGCATATAGTATACACATAAAATCTATATTATTTACAATGTATAGTAAATTGCAAATATTATAAAATACCATATAACAGATGACAAATATAAAATTTATCTAATAGTAAATGCTGAATAAAGCATTATATTTTTCTTTATAATCTGTTATAAGCTTGCTAACTTAGTTTATAGTATTTTGGTCTATTATTATGATTATTGTTGAATTCAATTCTAATGTTTTATTTGTTATTGTTTTAATTGATGATCTGTCAGTTAATCAGAAAATGATCATAGTGTAACATGATGCAAATTATTTATAAAAATTAGAGGTTTGTAAATGTAATATAAATATATTATAAAACTTTTTTTGTACTAAGTTAATCGCCTTTCTTACTTAAATAAAAGTTATAAAGCTTGTTAAGACACATCTAATGGTAGTTAGATCATCTAAATCGACCTGATGGTTGCTGAGATATTATTAAAAAATGTTATGCCAATTATATAAAATTCTATATAAACAATAGTATTGTTTATATAGAATTTTATATAATCAGCATAATGTTTTTTAATGATATCTTAGCAACCACCAGGTCGATTTAGATGATCTAACTACTATTAGATGCATTTTAATAAGTTTTACAACTTTCATCTAAGTAAGAAAGGCGATTAACTTAATACAAAAAAAGTTTTATGATATATTTATACTACATTTACAAACCTCTAATTTTTATAAGTAATCTGCATCATGTTACACTATGATCATTCTCTGATTGACTGATAAATCATCAATTAAATATATTTGTTATTATATCTAAATTAGTTTTAGTAAATATTTTATATTCCTGTAATGTTTTTGTTATTATTTTTTTAATTAAATGTTATATTTGTATTATATTTTGTAATTGTCTAGAGCATAGTAGAGGATATTTAATGATTACATATGATAATACAAAAGTTGTATTTTTGATGCATTTATAGTTATATTTTTGATTAATTAATTATTAATGCATCAAAAACATAATTTTAAAAATTTTTGTCTATTTGTATATATGTCTATATTTGTACTTTAATGTAACAAACAATACCAATATAATGATCATATGCTTCAAACATACAATGCTATATATTAACCTAGTATATAAGTTAGTAAATATATATATATATATTTTGGCATTAAGATGATCTCTTTTGGTTCTGACTTTTTATTAATACTTATATTAGATACATATATATATAAATGTATCTATATTAAACTATCAGATAAGTATACAACTGGTTATATATGTAATTTTTCTATATTACCTATTTAAGAAGTCTATCTAAAGGTTTCTTACCAGTTGTTATATCTAATATTACTGCTTAAATATTCTATTTAAACTTTTTGATTTGGCTCTGATATTAATTTTACCAGATTACAGATTTAGATTTTTTTGCTATCAACTTTTAAGACTATAATTTTTAAACTATTTTTATCTTTAAAATAAATCTACCAAAGTGAGCTGTATTTTTTTTTACTAGTAACCTGGTTTGATACTATGGTTAAAACTAACACTTGTAGTTAGAGTTATTTATTAAACTGCTATTACTCTTATAAAGTTCATCCAAATTCTAATATTCATCTTTTTAATATCTTCATTATTATTTTCTATTAGCTGCAACTTAAAACTAACAGATTTTTCAAACTTTTAATTCAAATGACCTAGATAATATACTTATGTATTTTTTTTCTTTAATAATTTTGGTAGCCTAATTGATATATATGCTTTCTTTATATACTTGTCATCTGATTTATCTGACAATTTCTATAAAGATATTTTATAGGCTTCTATCAGTCCAATAACACTATTAAAAGTTTGTATTATCTCTTTATTCAGAATTTTCAAGTGGGTTTCTATCTTTTCAGTTTTTTAGACTTTTATAACCAGTTGTCTTATTATAAGTTTGCACTGAAACTTTATATAACATTAGCTTTTTACATTTTTCTATATATATATAATAATATACTTCACATAGATGCTTTAAGCTCTCAATATCAGGTGAGGCCTGATTTGGTGTATCTAAGATTACAGATATCCAAAACTCAACTGATTAGCAAGAGACAATTAATATAAAACAGGTATAATTTTTAAAATTTATTATCTGTGAGAATTGAATATTAGATCTGCTATTTAAAAATTGACAATCTATTTACTTCACTAGATTACTACACCCTGTTAGTAGATATTTGTTTTTTAATTTTTGTTATATTTACAATATGTTTCTATTGTGCATTTATTAAAATATTATTTGTATAAATTAATATATTTCAAAAGTTCATTTTTTTTTTCTTTTAAGCAGTTATGCTAGTACTTTATTAAACATTTTGAAATTACTTTTGCAATTATATAAATATATCTAACAACTAAGTCTAATATTACTTGACTATTCTATTGATACTTAAATGCAAACTGTTATATTACTTTAAACAAAAATAAGCTGCTTGTTTAACTATTTAAAGTTCATAATAAAAATATTTTTTCTTTTTTATAATAAGCTTTTAAATTGTTTTTCTATATAATAGTAGATAATTTAACCTAATTACTATTAGTATATCTGTTTCTTATTTTTTGTTTACTAGCTTGACTTAGATTTTTTCTTCTATTTTTTATCACTTCTCAAAAACAATGTCTTGATACAGATTTTTATAATGTTTTACAAGAAATCCATATTGGAAAACTATCTGACATAGGCAAATCCATTCTTGCATTTAAAATAAATTCTTAAATTTCTTCTAATAAGTTCTTTAATACAACTTATATAATACCTACTTGAAAAATTGCAAATAATATTAATCAAATACTTTGTTATTATCTTTTGTTAAACCATACCTCTTGTTAACTTATTGTTTCTAAATGTAAAGATACACTGAACTATAAGATATTACCTTATAATTATTCATTTCTTCAGTTTAAGAATATGAAAAATTTACCTTCATCTTTATCCTTACAAAAAAATGCCAAAGTTATGTTCTTAAATAACAAATTGTTTGATAATGTTATCTGCAATGGCATTATTGACATAATAACTAGACTTATAAATAACAGTAATATTGAAGTAACTTTTTTTATGTATAAAGGAATAAGTAAAGTAATCATTCAAAAAGAAACTGCTTACTTCTATATCAATAGTCAAACAGCTTCAAAACAACAATTTCTACTTCAAAATGCATTTACTCTTACTACTCACAAAGTACAAGTATATGTTGCTATAAGTCATGCAACTTTATGGAATACTATTCAAATCTTAAACTTCAATTACATCTATCTTAAATGTTCCACTGCAGCTCTAGAAGAATATAAGAAATTGATAATTATACATAACAGAGACTTACAAAATTTATAATTTCTTTTTTAACCACAATCCCTTGACTGCTTTTTTTTTTATTCAACCCCGAATTTTTTATTTATCAACTCACTATTTCAATATTGTACATCCATATATTATTAATAATATTAAACAAAAAAATAAATATATGATATAATTACGCATACACTATCAGCTATATAGAACTACAAAATTCCAAATAATACCTGTTTTTTATTTATAAATTTTCAAATATAACAACTACTTTAAAATTTTCCAACCTATCAAGATTACGTAACAAAAATCCTACCTATGCAACTTTCACTTTTTTTTTTTTAACAAATTAAAAATTCACTGGTCTAATCCGACGGTTCCCACTTGTTAAATGTGTATAATACTTTTCAATATATATTCTATCTAAACTGATTATATAATAGACAATTATTATAGTATGTATATACGTATTTGATTGGTTATTAAATAAAAATTTTAAGTTTTAAATTAGCAAAAGTTGACCCGGCCGGAATATGAAAACCAAAAAATTTACTTTGCTTTGCCTTATTTCTGTGCAATATACCGAAGAATTTTTTAAAATAACTACTAAAACAATTTTTTTTTTAATCGATAGCTTTTATTTGCTTAATTTTACTATTTTACGTTTGTCAAATTTAGATAAAACTTATTTTAATTGTTAAAGAATTTGCTACGTACTTATAAAATAGTATAAATGGCTCTATTCCATTTAAGTATGTAATTTGCACTATCTTTTTAAAAAAATTGGACCATTAATTAATTATACTAGTTCGAGAAAAAGCGCACCGAAAGTTGGTATTAATGTTTGATTTTACTAGTTTGATGATCATCCTATCGTTCCACATAATTGTACCCGATTTGGTTCAAAACTTTAAATTTACATCGAACAAGAAATTTGAATTCGTCATATCTTACGGGATCTTCGTCACATTCATCACTAGTAATTAATAACCAAATTACTAGGGAATCTGGCACGTCTAAAATCATTTGGCACAACAAACTTTTATTAGTCTAGTAAAACTTGGCATGCTATTTGTAAACACAACTAGGTGTTGATGATTCCTTGCCTTTTATGACACAAGAAAAATATCATTCATAATATTATTTATATTGGCAAAACTATGAGAATCAACATTTTGAGAAATATTCATTATTTCCCATTATTGAAATGTTATAAAAAAACCATCTATTATTTTTTATTTCTTTTTTTATTAGTTTACATATCAGCTAGGATCAAAATCTGAGATAGGGCAAAATGATTATGGACTGAGAATCAAAATCATTTTGGCTTAATATTTCGAGGATCGGTCCATTCCTAACCGCGAAACTCCATAAATGATGATTTCGTAGTACTATTAAATAATAATCAATATTATTAGATAATCAAGGAAATTATTATGAAATATAAATACTAAACTCACTTGATAGAAGCATTTGTTCCGTCGAAACTATTTCCACCCGTGCCCAAAATAGCATTATTACTAAATAAAAAATTTAATTTAACATAATGATAACTTTACGATTCAACTCCAACTATGAAACTCACCTATTATTCACACTTCCAAATGCATTATTGCTAACAAAAAAAAACCAAAATGAGAATTATATAACGTCGTGAATATAAAACAAATTATTACCTTGCAAACCGAGCAAATCCGCTACCACTTGGAGGTTTCAAATTTGCGGAAAGGGCGGAAGGAGCTCCGAACGTCCGAGCCTGTCCAAAACCATGTTGTCCAAATGCTGGCTGTCCAAATGCTGGTTGCCCAAATGCTTGTGCTTTAGGTACACCGAGTGATGATTGTCCAAAGCCAGTTTGTCCAAACGATGGTTGACCAAATGCTTGAGGATTAGCAGGTAATGAATTAAATGCATTTACATTGCTAGGTTGTGTTGCGAAAGCTGGTGGAATACCTGTAGCATTACCACCATGTGATAATCCTGCTCCAAACACAATAGGAGCAGATGTTGCTGTACCAAATGTCTGCTTACCAAAAGCAGGAATACTAGTAGCAGTGTTTGTAAGTGACCTATCTCCAAATAAACCAAAACTGCCTTGCGAACCAGATGCATTATGTGTTTCAGATGGTTCACCTAGTCCAAATGAACCAAAATTTTCCGAGACTCCCATTAATTCATTACTATTTTTATCTTCAATTGTATCAGACACTAACTGTAGTACTCCAGATTTGGGATCTTCCACAAAATTGTTATAGGACTGTTTAAATTCGGAAGCTTTCGACAATCCGGATACATCAGGCGCAACAATTTTCGATTCAACAGAATCCTGAGTTTCATCCCGATAAGAGTCTGAATATTGTACTTCTTTGTCTTGATATGAAGATGTCGTTTCAAGCGTTGATGACTCCTGTGTTATCTCATTATCCTTGGATATAAATGTGGGTGTAAGTTTCGGTGATACCCGATCTAAGTTTAACTCATCAGATTCCACCGTCTTATCACCAAATGATAGGGATGACTCTGACTCGAATTCTATAGGTTCTTGGAATTTGATACTTGATGTCACTTCTGTTGCATGGTTTATTTCTTGAATACCCAGGTTTCCTGGAAGAGTATATATATCGTCGTGAATAAATGGTCGGCTGTCCTCATAATCTTGGTATGTCCCACTCGCCTCAGGAAGAATATTATCCGTATATGTGTTTCCTCTAATAGGCGTATCATATTTAGCTTTAGGCTGAAATTGATAATCACTAGATGACTCTGAAGGATAAACACTCTTTCTTAAAGGACTCGTAATCGTTGTGCGTGAGCGATACGGCTTGCCTTCATGAATTTGTGTTGGAGAAAATGCACGAGGCTTAAGTGCACTTGGACTTTTTTTGGGTGAAATTATTATCGGAGACATAGATTTTCTTTCAATTACTTCTGCAAATTACACAAAAGACCATATTAACTTTTTTTTAAATAAATAATAATAGTAATAATAATAAAATAAGTATTTACCATCTTCATTGTCTTCGAAATTACTGTTTTTGACAGGATCCTTTCTATTAAATTTATTTATATTTTTGAGCTTTTCACAAATACGTTCTTTATTAAGATAAGCTGCAGTTGCTTTCGCTGCATCAACTGAATATGAAATATTCTTAGCATATGCCTTATTTGGCTCAGTTCTGTTGATTGGGTGAGATACAAATGCTTTACGATTAGAAGCGCCATCTCCTGAAGATATCTGCAATGTAAGTTGGTCTAATTGAGCGCTCAATTGTTCAATTTGAGAAGCATTACGGTACAAGCCTTTACTAATGTTACGAATTGATCTATCAATGTATTCCAAGGGGGATTGCCTAATTTCAAAGAAATATAGATGTAAGCCAGCAAAAATGACATAAATATAAATATCCATTATTACTTGCCTTATTGATTTGTTAGACTTTTTCTCTTGAATTTGCTCATGTAATGCATTTAATTGTGTCTCCAAAGCTTGCGCACTTTCCTTAACAGTCTTTTACAAACATAAATATAGGTTGGTATATGAAATAAACGCTAGAAAATTGATGTAGCATCCAACCTTAAAAGTTGTTTCTAGCCTCTCTTTTATGCGAGATTGTAATATCCCACGACGACCAACAGTAATCATATTAGAAGGTGTGCACATTAGGTGTTCAATATCTGTTTTTGCTTTGACAAGGTCTATTCAATTAAAATTATATGAAGTTTAAATAAAAGGTAATATTTATTTAATGACATTTCATCAAGGATAGAATAACAATAACCTATTCGGACATCATGACTGTATTCATTAACTTGGTTCCGCAAATCGACTAAAGCTTGAGTCATAGAGCTAGCTTCGTGCTCCAACAGATTTATTTCTGATGTTATTACTGGTAAATCACCGATCGACCACGTATCATGATTCTCAAAATACTGTTCAGTAGTTCGATCATGATACTTTACTATATAATTATTAGCTGCACCTTCTATTCGGTTATGAAGCTAAAAAAAAAAATAGATACAAAATTATATGAATTTTTTTGACAATATTAAATTAATAAAATAATGTATGCATACGTCATTGATTTCATTTTCAGTAGCATTCAAGCGAATCATGTGCGGAGTCTTGATGTCAGTTTCAGTAGACGTTGATTGTTGGGCTGAACTCAAATTGCGGGATGGTGTAGAAACCGGAGTTGGTATAATTTTTTTTGGAGATAAAAAGTTATTATTGGAAGGTTCTGTTTTAGTAGGAACAATAATGGATGATACTGTTTTAATAGGAGCGACTATAGGCGATGCTGTTTTGATAGGAGCGACTATAGGTGATGCTGTTTTGATGGGGGCAATGACAGGTGATGCTGTTTTGATGGGGGCAATGACAGGTGATGCTGTTTTGATAGGGGCAACTACAGGCGATGCTGTTTTGATAGGGACAGCAATAGGTGATGCGGTTTTTACGGGTGCAGTAATAGGTAATTCTGTTTTATCAGGTATAATGGCAGGTGTCTTAACCGTACAATTCTGTGGATTTGTTGTAGGATTTGAAGTAGAATTTATTCCCGATGAATGCCCTGTAGCAGGGAGCATTTTAGGAGGTGCCATCCCAGAGAAATTTTCTTGTGCCAAAAAAGCATCCTTATGAAAACAACGATACGCGACTAAGTCACATTCATCATTCAAGATATACAGTATAGGGACCGGTGGAACTGTTGTATTTTCATCCCCTGTTAGCCGTGTGACCCAGGATTCTGTGCAAGTGAAATCAATTGCCAGACCAACGGGTAAAGTATCAAAGTCATGTATTTCTGATAATGGAAGTGCTGCCCTATTTGTTTCTGTAGGAAGCAAGCTAGTCCAATTATTTGATGCATCTTGTACAATCAAATTTATATCTGCAGAATTGGCACTTGCACAAATTGTAAGACATTTCAAATTTGTAACCCTGTTAAATTGAAACAATTAACAAATAATTGAGATATAGTAATATAAGATGCAAAATCAAACATTGTTAATCAGTATATTACCAATTTTTAATGGTTTCCGTGTATAAGTAAGGGAGTTTAGGGCGATCAGATGGGCTACATATCATTGGACATTTCATGTAGAGAATTTTTGACTTTATTTCCCGCGAAATAACAAACACTTCAAGTTCAGAATCCTCTTCTTGAATAACTGGAAAATATGCCACAACAAACAAAGCAGCTTCTAGCCAAAGGATGTTCTGGACTTTGAAATCATAAACTTGGGTGTGACAAAAAATATATATATATAATAACTATAATGGCAAAAATAAATTTAAGTATACCACAATGTGACTGTTGTTGAAAGTCCGGAGGCGGTTGAATAGTGGCTTTGGATGTTCCTTCTGGAGTAAATTGTATGAGCTGTCCTAAATGATTACCACAAATTATCTGTTTTCCTTTTTGTGACCAACACACTATAGGACGAATTGGTTAATGAAAAAAATATATGTTCCACAGTAATAATTGTAGAGCTTGTATCCGAATACATTATTAATATTCATTTCTTTTAAACATACTATATTTATTAAAAACAACTAATGATCCGGATACAACCTCTACACTCGTGCGTGACGACCACTTACTGGCAGTGAACCGTTCGCCAACTTTAGTGCCTTCTATTTTGCTAATTTCATTGTTTATAAAATAATCTTTTATGTACACTACGCCGGATACAAGCAAGATGGCTATTATGCTATGCCTTTCTCCAGGATTTGGACGGAGATCCTTAATATCTTCCTGAAACGACATTCTTTGAAAGGGTTTGCTTTCAGCTTGCTATTTAAATGTTTAGACGAGATAATGTATTAATTCATTTAAATGATACACGCATTGAACAAGGAATAATATTACCTCCGAAGCGAATTTTGTAACATCATAAAACAATACATGACCACCTTCTATACCAACAATTAAGGTAAGTTGATCAGAAGAAAGTCGAAGGCATCGAACATGGCCTTCAGATATTTCGCAATGGATCTTTTGAGATAATAACTCCTTTGTACCAGAGTTGGAATGCTCAAATAATTCGTGTATAGCTTTTGTAGACGCGTATATGAATCCTATTCGATCAAAACACGAAAATCAGAGCAATTTTCCAATAAAACATACAAAATAACACGTTTGTTAATAAATTACACACTATAATAATCAAATTGAATCAAAATCTCACACTTTACCTTTGTTCGTTGCCGCCACAAAAAAACCATATATATTGGAAATGACAAGCAAAGACGGATAAGGAGGTATCGCTTCTGGGTAAACGGTGCCCTCCGAGAGCTGTACGCTTAATGCATTTTTGTTAAGCTGTTTGAATTCGAAAAACTACATGATCCCAAAAAATTGAAATGATTAAGGTAGCCCTCAAAATATAGGCGTACGTAAAACAAGTAGACGAAAAATCATAATTTACCTCAACTTCGTCTTCTTCAAACGATTGAACCTCGAACTCTTCAGACATAATTTTTATTGTATATGTTTTAAATAAAAGATAGAAATTCACTCCTGATCCATTAGAAACTTATAAATGCATGCGATCCAATCAGAGTCCCAGGTTATGATCATTCATTTTACATTCATTTATCTTTATAAATTAGCCAATCAAATGAATGTCTTCTGATGATTCGATTTAAGTTAACGGTTAATAACAATTACTAAATTCGAAAAATTCTATAGTTCTGGAAAAGGGATTACGTATAACCGCTTGCGTAATCAAAAAATTTTTACTCAATCGAAACTTACATACGCACGTAGAATCTATCTTTACTCAACAATGGCTTATTTTCAACCCGAAGTGAAAATGGATGTTGACCAGAATCCAACAATGGTATTGAATGAACTTCGTAAACAATGTCCTTCAGAATTACAAGAATATTTAAATACTTTTGAAGACTTGTATGATCGGAAGTTATGGCACCAACTTACTTTAAAAATCGAGGAATTCTTTACAGAACCAACCTCTGGTCCTTACCAGATTCAACTGTTTCAACATTTTATATCTGATTGGGAAAGCAAGATGAATAAACTTAAATTAGTGAAGTTGGGACTTTGTGTCGCGAAACAATTTAGTGGTAGGGTTTATATAATTGATATGCGACATTCAAGAAAATGGACGGTCCAAAAATTTGCATGATTAAAGATCTCATGGTAAATATCATAATAGATTATAACGAAGCCTTGGCCTTTCTGACGTCACTTGTTGAAAAAGTTGATACGACTGAAACGCGTGATGCATATGTTCTTGCCGTCACAGAAACAGCTTATATAAAGCTTAGATTATTTGATCTTGAGGGTACGAAGACTGCTATGGATGAATGTGAGAAGATTCTTGATACATTTGATTCCGTGGAAACTGTAATTCACGCGAGTTTTTATCGTGTTTGTGCGGATTTTTATAAGGTAAAGAAATTAATTTACGTATCAAGGCTATGTAATTTTCAATGTGCCAAAGACCGCTAACATTAAATAATTCAGCTATTGCTTTTTGATAAATTAGGCAAAGGCGGAATATGCACAATATTATAAAAATGCATTGCTTTATCTAGCATGTATTCAACTTGAAGAATTGACTTTAGAAGAAAAGGCTGAGAGAGCCCACGATCTGGCGATTAGTGCATTGTTGGGTGATACCATTTATAATTTCGGAGAATTGGTAAATGATTTTTCCCTGAAATATTTCTCTTATTAAATAATTTCGAGACTAACATGATAACATCTATTGGATACAATAGTTAATGCATCCAATCTTGGATACGTTAACAAATACTCCTTTTGAATGGCTCAGGAGTTTATTATTTGCGTTTAACGCAGGGGATATTGGAAAATTTGAAATGTTGGCAGTGAATTTCACTCAGCAGGTATACAAGAGTACTAATTTGCATAATTGATTCATATATGTGTATATATATTACGTTTACCAAATTGTATAAATCTTATAGCCTATATTGCAAGACAATATGTCGTTTTTACGTCAGAAGATTTGTTTAATGTCATTGATTGAAGCTGTATTCAAAAGAAGTTCAGATAATAGGACAATTCCCTTCGCCAATATTTCGGAAGAAACCCAATTGCCAATTGATGAAGTATTATTTATTTATAGGTTTATAAGTAAATGAATTTCTTTTTCAAAATTTAACGAATATGAATTTTTTAATGTTTTTAAAGGTGGAATATCTTGTAATGAAGGCACTTTCCCTTAAATTGATTCGTGGGTCAATTGATCAAGTTGGTGAAGTAGTAGTTGTAACGTGGGTTCAACCGCGTGTTTTAGATAAAGATCAAATTGATAATATGAGGCAGAGGTTACAAGAGTGGGATGAAACCGTAAAAAAGACTGCCAAATTTGTAGAGAGTGAAACTCCTGAATTATTTGTTCAGTAAATTTCATATAGCAAAATAGGACTTTTTTTTTTTTGAGAACTTTCTTTGATTGTTCAAATGTTTCAAAGTAGAGATCAGACCCGGATGCAAATTTGTTATCTGAGTGAAAATGAATAGGAATTATACATTATGCCCAATACAGTGATCTGATTCTCAAACTTGATTAATACGGAAATGTCACCCGGATCTGATCTCGATTTCAAAGCCACTGACTGATTAGAATTATAATTTCTATACATTCAAGAAGTTATTTATTTTATATATATATTTTTTTGCGTGTGCAACAAGCTTTCTAACTATAAACGGCGATCGTACATTGATTAACGCGTGTATCGAGTATTAAAGGCGATCTTGTCTTTTTAAAATTATTGTAATGCCCATTGTATAAAATCGTAACACAAACTCTAATGCACTAGAACATTCGCGAAACTCTTTACGTCACTATAAAGAAGAAAAAAAGATCTGATAACGGAGTTTATCGATGTCTTTGGTACAATTGATTTCGATATAAAAATATTAGAACACTTTTATTTTGTTTCAAATACACACAATTCTATTATTATTAAGTGATAATAATGACGTCTTCTAGGTAAGAAAAATTTTTTTCACATCTCAGTTTTTGACGGTTAAGACACATTGAATTATGGTGTCTTAATAAAGTTTATCAATTTCTGTTTAAGAAGTCTTCACCCCGAGGTACTTTGGGCACAACGCCAAAATGAGCTTTATATTACCATAAATTTAGTTGATATTAAAGATCCTAAAATTGATGTGACCAAAGATAAAATTTCCTTCGAAGGAATCGGAGGTACAGAACAGAAACTGTATCAGTTTGAGCTAAACTTAAATAAGGAAATTAATCCAGAGGTAACAATCGATTTCTTTTTAAAAAAAAATCTTTTTAGCCAAGATATTTGGTAGAATATCACGATCGGTGTTGAAAATGTGATCTCTTTAACGTTTCTGAAAACATCAATTTTGAAGAGTACGAAATATACTCTTATTTAGGAGCATCATCTTTTTTAAATCGAGAGCACAGGTGTGCTGCAGTTTTCTTAATATAGAGAACAATAAACAATAGGAAAAAAAAAAAGAAACTTGAAATTTAAAAAAATTAAAGTGTGAACATAAAGCTAATTTTCAACACTGAATTAGACGTGAAAATGTATTTAAAATATAAATAATCAATTAAGCATACTGATTATTTCTTTTTTTATGCTTAGGCGTCAAAGCGCTCGCAGACTGCACGTAGTATTATTCTTGTTCTTGATAAAGCTGAACATGGACAAAAATATTGGCCACGTTTACAAAAGGAACCAGGTAAAATCAGCTTTCTCAAGACCGACTTCTCCAGATGGAAGGATGAGGATGAAGATGACGATGAAGGTGGACAGGATCCTTTAGGTGGAATGGATTTCTCTAATCTAATGGGTTCTGGTGGTGTAGGTGGTGGTGGTGGTGGTGCAGGATTTGATGTAAGTTGAATAACGTTTTTGAAATTCTTTTAATCATGATGATTGGTATTGACATGAAACTATAATGATTAAGGAGGATGATTCTGATGATGAAGACTACCCTGATTTAGAAAATGCTAATGACGCCGCAAAGACAGACGAACCAAATGAAGAACCTAACAAAGAGGCTGCTCAAGAAGAAGAGCCTAGCAAGGAAGCAGCAAAGGATTAAGAATAAAATAAATAATGCTCACATATGTATATTTTTACAACGCGGTAATATTATGGAAGGTATCATGTTTATTACAGCTCAAACATTGGGTCGGCTTTTGTATTTTCCGTTTTTGTCAGAGTTTAAGCATATGAGCCTAATACAAATTTTTTTTTATCGTACGACCATATTCCGCATCCAAAGTAATTACATTCATATGCTAGAGAACTTTTCAATTTATACATATTTTCTATATGCATTAATTCAATTAAAATTTGCCTTATTTTTTATTTGGCTACGTTAAAAGTGACACACAAATATTCAAACAATTCAATAATTATCGTTAGTTATATAAAATAGTATATATTGATTTACTTGATTATTTAATAATGATTCAAATTTGTTTTTATTCGAATCGATCCCATTGAATTTACAATTTTAAAGTTTAAGAGCTGTTACCCGGCTAATGCTACGTACATGTTATGCGAGTTACAAGTCAAAATTAGTCTAACTCTGATTAAAAGGGTTATATTAAATCGGGGTCGCAAATAAACTTAATGCATTAAATCACAATTAAATAATTATAACTCTAATTAGGGATTTTTTGGGATTTACTTATTTGTGCCGGTAATACAACCCCCAAAAAGGAAATTTTAATCTTGTAAATAATCAAAAACACAAACTTAAGGTTAGAAACCATAGCCATAAACTGATCCCAAGGTCTTACAAATCGGGTTTTATATAGAAAACAAAGATGTCATTAAGATTTTTATTATTAATTTTATAGAATTTTATTAATAAAATTTTATAAAATCTTATAACCATCATTAGGGATTTACAATAATTAAAATTAAATTTTTATTAAAACATTATTTTTTAATATTTAGAATAAATTTAAAAGTTAAAACTAAAATAAAAGTGTTTTTACTTAGAATTTTATAGAGTTTTTTTTATAAGAACCTCTAAGTAGTTTTGTTAATAAAATTTTATTTTACAGTCACACTTCATATAATTACACTAGAAACTAAAAACTGATATAAATTTGAGCATAAATGCATTTTATAATAATTGTTTTTTTAATTAATTTATAATAAATACTATATAGCAAAATCAAACTTTTATTAAGTAAATATGTAAATTATATACTACTAAGTAAAGTTGTTTAGAAAATCAAAATACATATATTTTGAAATTTTTATACAATTACAATAATTTTTATTATTTGATATTTACTTTTTATTGTTCTTAAATATAAAATTAAAAAAAAATTTAATTGAATTTTTTGAACATAAAATGAAAAATATATTAGTAATAAATTATTCAATTTATATAAAAATTTTAGAATATATATATATTGATCTTTTAAACAACTTTATTATTTTTATTTAAAAGTATAGTATTTAGATAAGTTGTCAGCTTTCAAGTAATAGATTAAATGTTCAAATCTTATTAATAGTGAAAATTTGGATAATTATCTATGTAATATTTATATTATAGTAACTGTTTCCAATAATTAAATTAAGATATTTGTAATAATAATCATACTAGTATGACTGGCAGGTCATAGAATAACTGTGTAATTATGATGTTATATAAAAAAATACAAACTGGCATTAGATGATACAAACTTTAGATAAGTCTCTTGTGTCTATATAAATCTATTAAAATTAAAAAACAAAAAGTTTATTTAGAAAGATCCAAATAGAAAGATAGCATAAATCTTTGATAGTATTATTATAAAGATTAATCTTAGAAAATAGATACCAATATTGAAATATTTAAATAGACAAAAACTTCTAAGTAGAAGATATCATTAACTAGGCTATTAAAACAGACTAGAAGAAAAAAAATATTAAGCTAATCTAATATATCAATAAACTGATCATAGTTCTACTAAGTTATTTAAATTAAAAATCTAAAAAATAAGCAAAGATATATTAAAATAATTCAAATATGCTATTAAATAAATACTAAAATTGAATAAATTCTATAAAAATATAACAGTTTAATAACTAGCTCTAACTACAAATATTAGTTCTATTATAATGATATTATGTTAGTTATAAAAATAATTATAAAAGATTCTAAAAAGTTTATCTTAAAGATAAAATAATCTTAAGATTGAGATAATAACCTAAATATAATTTAGTAATATTAATACAGATACAGGTTTAGAAGATTTAAAATAGAATATCTAAGCAGAAAAATTAAATATGACAATTTAAAAAACTTTTAAGTGAACTTCTTAAGGGTAGGATATAATATTTTAAAATTATATATAAACTTAATAATATATTTTTTTTATAATTTCAATTATGAAAATTTTTACTAATTAAATATTTTTTGAGCTTCTAAATAAAGTTTTAGAGTAGGTTTTTGTGATTTTACAGTAGTAAAATTATTAAAATTAGCATAAAATTCATCAATATATGAATTTTTAAAGATTAGATATAAAAATTTACTATTAAAATTCTTTTATAGTTTTTCAGAAATTAGCCAATTAAAGTTAGCTTTTTTGTGTAACTCTAGAAAAAACATAGGGCTTTCTAGAAGAATTCAAGATATATACAAATAGAATTTTTTTAAAGTAAACTTCTTATAAAATTTTAATATAATAAATAACTTATTTAAACCTATATATTATTAAATTTTGATAAAAATTAATTAAAAAATAAAAAAGTTTTATTAGTAACACATTTTTAATTTACTATATAAAAATTTATTATACTATCTAGATCATATAAAAAATGATATACATACACCCTATCCTTAAATAAGTAATATAAAAAAGTTATACATATAGTCAATTGTATACTCTTACTATAACAGTTTATAGAATTACATTATCAAAAAAATTATTAATAAAAGTCAAAAAACCAAAGAGATCATTTTAATACTAAAAAAAAAAAATTTTTATTATTTTTTTAATATTAAAGTGATCTTTTTTAGTTATTTTGTTTTTATTAATACTTTTGTCAAGTATATATTTATATAAAACTATTACAAAAAAATTATATATATAACTTTTCTATATTATCTATTTAAAAAGTTTACTTAAAGGTTTTTTCCTAATTGTTATATCTAATATCTTTGTTTGAATATTTTATTTTAAACTTTCTAATTTTGCATTCTTATATTAACTTTACTAAGTTATTTAGAATCTGGATTCTTGTCTCAATTTTAAATCTAATTTATTCTTAAAATAAATCTTTAAAAGTTTTTTATATTTCTATTTACAGTTGATCTAATTTTACTATAATTAAAACTAATACTTACAGTTAGAATTAATAATTAAATTATTTTTATTTTTATAAAGTTTATTCAAATCTTAATATTTATTTTTTAATAGTATTTCTATTTTATTTTACTAATTATTATTCAGAATTAACAAAACTCTTCAAACTATTAATTTAAATAGCCTAATATAGTATAATTGAATTTTTTTTTTCTTTAGTAATTTTGATAGCTTAGTTAATATATATACTTTTTTTATATACTTGCCATCTAGTTTATCTTCTTATTTCTTTGAAAATGTCTTAAAAGTTTTTATTAATTTAACAATATGATTAAAAGTTTGTATTATCTTTTTATTTAGAATTTATAAGTAGATTTTTTTTTGTTTTTACTAAGACTATTAGTTATTATTAACTATTGCTTTTATTGTGATTTAACTATAATTACAAAACTTGTATAAGGTAAGTATGCAACTAGTCATATATACAGTTTTTGATTATCTATTTAAGTAGTCTGATTACAGGTTTTATACTAGTTATTATATTTGTAATCTGTTAAGAGATTACTTAATTAAATACTCTGATCTTTATACTATATCTGACAAATAACTATACAAGTTTCTATATATCTAAGTGCTATCTAATCTAACTCTAATCTTTATTTTGTATATCTGTCAGATATATTACTTAACTGTAAAGCTTTAGAAAACTTTTTGCTAACTAACTACCTATTTAGTTCTTGTCAACAGAGCTCATTCTTGCAAAGTTCACCTAGATCTCAGTATTATTTCATAGTATATTTCTAGTACTTATAGTATATTCTGCTTTTGGCACCAAACTCTTAATTCAAATAAATCAAAAAAACTATAATCTGTTACTAGTATAACAGAATTATGATATTTAATATATATTTTTTTTAATTTAAAACTTTTAGTAGCTTGGTTGGTAGTACCTCTTATTTAAGGTTTTTGCTTGTTTGATTTCTTTATATTAGTATTTATTTTCTAGACTTAGCCTTTACAATAGTACTGTTAAAGTGTTATGCTATCTTTTTACTTAGGTTTTTTTTAAATAAACTTCTTGTTTTCTAATTTTAATAAATTTATATGCCTATAAAAACTTTCAAAGTTTGTACTATCTAATGCTAATTTATATTTCTTTATGTAATCTATTACACAGATATCAGTTATTCTAATATAACCACTATTACAGTTATCTTAACTTAATTATTAGAAACAGTTGCTATAATACAAATATTATATAGATAATTATTCAAATTTTTGTTATTAATAAAATTTGAATATCATCCAATAACAACTCTTTTTACTAATTCTTTGTTTCAAAAACAGACAAGACAAAAATAGTAGCAGCAAGCAAGAACTAACTTAGGAAACCTATTCTAACAACTTAAAGAAAAAGAAAATAGACTAAAAACAACATTAAGTCTGATAGAAGCTCTTTTTTCTTTGAGTCAAGTACAAAGTACAAAAAAACAATTTGTTTTTTTTCTTCGAAACTTTCTTAAAAATTTGGGAAATTGGCAAAGTCTCAGTTCGGCAGATCAAATTAGGTTGCACAAAAACATATAAATAACAAAGTAAACAAACAATAGATCACATTTCCTTTTTGGTTAAGTAAATAAATTACAAGAAAACAACAATCACACAATTAAACAACAACAGAAAAGCATGTAGTTCTTTTTAGAAAAATCTAGAACAACACTACTGGTAGATATTAGTTAATTATCATTTAAGCGCAGATTAGAAGATGAGTGAGTTATACAAGCAG